TGAAGGCCTTTATGGGTTGGAAGTAGCCAAAAAAAACGCAGCCGATTTCCGACTGCGAGAAACAAAGACGTTCCTCAAAATATACTGGAGGTACAGTTTGCTCTTGTGTACCGTTTTATTTACACTTAATGTTTCTTAGAATTTGTTGCTGAACGCATCGCTCAGTCTTTCATTAAGGAAACCAAGAAGGTGGAATCGTATTTGAGAGCGTGCCGTCGCCGGGGGAAAGACTGAGAGGTTCAGGGAAAGAAAAAAAAAGTGCGTCTGGCTTCCACGGCGTGACTTTTGAGAACGTTCTTCAAGATAATTCAATAGGTTTCATTGTGTACTAAGATGGAAAATACGGAATGATTGAAAGTGCTGTAGACTTCAAATGGCGAGTTTATGTTTGTTCATCCACTTGCAAATATTCTTCCTTCGGACCTGTGCGTTTTCATGAATGACTTTAGCTTCTCGAGATAATCTTGAGTTGAATGTTTGAGAAGCGACACATGAAAACAACTACAATTAATACTGGTCATTGAGTGAGAGAACATCAATTAATCGGAACAATTAATGGAAGAACAATTAATGGAAGAACAATTAATGGAAGAACAATTAATGGAAGAACAATTAATGGAAGAACAATTAATGGAAGAACAATTAATGGAAGAACAATTAATGGAAGAACAATTAATGGAAGAACAATTAATGGAAGAACAATTAATGGAAGAACAATCAATGGACGCAAACTCTAAACGCTCTAATTCATTCCAGGTTTTCGCACCTTCTCTCCAGAATTCATCTTCTTGTGGCATTCTAAGTCAACCCAACATCAATGCAGGGCGCGATAATTGACAAAGAAGAAAACCATTCATCGCTCACTGATTTGAGTTGTTTGTTAAGATCTTTGAGTTGTTTATTACGAGATCCACCATAATACGTTGGCGGTTGATCACTGTCTTCAACAAGTTGGTCATCCTCTTGATGGAATTGGATGGCGCAACGGATACGTTGCAACTGAACATCTGGAACATCCTCAATTTGGTGTGCCCAAGTGTGGGACTGAGACTTGTGTAAAAAAAGATCAGAGCTGCTTCGTCTCTATCAATGAGTTTAAGTTTGAAGTCGTCCATGGTGGACATACCCAAGAGAATGTAGGTGAGAGCCTTTCATACCTCTCTTGCATAACCAAGAGCTTCTTGCAAACTTGCAGGTGCGACAGGATTGACTCGTTTGACAAGTGTCATGTAGGAGGGAAAAGCAAGTCAGGTCTCACATATACAGCCATTCTCGTGCAATCTTGATGAGAAGCTCCCACAACAACCATGCTTTCATCCTTTAGTAGTGATTATCCCTAGCTATGGAACTGTACGTATCGTCTTCAATGACCATTTGCTGCACTCATGTTCGTCCAATTCTATTCGTTGAGGCAACGGTTTCATTAGTTGATGGAAACTGGGTTGTTTAGATTCAGGTGCAATCCACTGTCACTCCCTTATTCGGCTGTAATTGATACAACCATCTATATCTGTTGCGGTACTTGATTGTTCTGAACAACAGAACCTCGAAACATCAAGCGACGTGCTTCGCGTTCCATTCCTAACATTATTTTCCCGTTCGTCTCACTGAAAGGCTCTTCCATCCATAATGGTTCGTTGGGCTCACCAGCGATTTCTCACTCAACAGTCTTATTTCATCAGAGGGCAACTAGCTATCAGGAGATTTCGGGCGTGGTTTGAAATTGGAGGGTTGGATGCAAGGGGCACCGCCTGAAACAAAAGGGATCTGCGTGAACAAGGCATTGGACCCTCACCTCTGGAGATGCAATCCGTTTGCCGAGTCTCTTGAGCTCATAAAGAATTAAATCCTTCGTGTCGGTGGAAAAGAACCCTTCTGGTTCGACCCTTGATGCTGTTGGTTTAAACATTTGTGCATCAAACAGATTCGCAATCTGCTGAACTGATGGATGCCAATGCCTGAAGGAGAGTCGTAGCGAAGCTCGATGACAGGGGGCTTACAGCTTGGCAACTTCTATTTCCCATAGAGACATTCTATTGAAAAGCTCCTGTCGGTTTTCGTCTCCCTCAGACGGTGAGTCGTCTATAGTGTCACCATCCCAAGGAAGTATACGCTCTTCTAGTGCGATTTGTCCCTCATCCGAGATCTCTTGAGGCTCCAGCGGATCCGATTCAATCTCTATTTGCGTTCCATGGATGAGGGGAGCCATCGCAAGGCCTCCCGATTGAAGAATTCGGAGTGCTACGGATAACAAAAACATCGAAGGTCCAGGGGGAGTGAGAAGGGAAACTGCGAGGAGAAAGGGGAATGGAAGTGTCTTTTGGGACAGAACTGTCTTCTTGTGAAGCAACTGGAAACGGACATTGATCGAAGACGACATATACATATATATATATATATATATGTTATATAAATGGTCTGACCTGCTACTAGCTTCTTGACAAATATTGCCCTCATCTCCGTAGAAAGCAGCTTTGATTGCAAAGATAGCGACAACAAGCGCAGAAAGCGAACTCTAACCGGAAGTGAAAACACCTTCGGCTGTAGCAACGACAGCAGCCGGTGGTAGAAGTTTTGGCCTTCTTGGTGGATGAGCTGCGGCTCGCCCAATCTTCCTTTCAATAGAAGATAAAAGAGACCCGATAAGGCTTGAACTGCAACAGAAATGTCATCGTCTTGAAATCCTATTAAGAAGAACTTCGCTAGTTTCAACGGGGAGGTCATCGATGGTAGTACTGCTGTTGGAAGGACAGTTAGAATTTCCTTGTAAAGAACAGGAGTGAGGTTCAACTCATTCGAGTCCATCTGAAGATATGACGACCAAGCGGCCACGAACGCAGCTTTGTACGATTTTAAATCGTCAGATTTTGAACGAACAATTCCATCAGGCGTGAAATTATTTGTTGCAAAAAGTCCTTTTTCAACGTCTGTGGGTGTTGGCAAGGAATTCAGAATAAGAAACATACGACGCGTCAGATTCGCGGGGGCATCTTCCTTTTTTAGCAACACGATGGAGGACTCGACAGCTGGACAAATATAATATCGCAGATCGCTGTAAGGCTCCAAAAAATTGGACTTTAATGAGGCAAGAAGATCAGGGAGAATGTCTTGTGATGCAAACAAAATGGATTCAACAATTTGATCAAGCAGCTTCACTGGAAAAGCCTTTTTTGGAGTAGATTGGCTCAGCCGGATCAGCGCTTCAGTTTTTATTCCTTCGAAAAGGAATCTCAAGCAAATATCCTGATAACGCAAGATTGAGTGAATTGCAAACAATAGAACGCTTACAGCAACTTTGAATGGTCCTGCTTTCAGTCTGACATGAAGAATCTCAACAAGATTCCTGTACGTTTCTGTTGTTCGGGTCAGCTCCTCCACAGAGACAGATCTGATCGCATCTGCCTTGCGTATTTCAGGATTGTAATTAGTTGCAAGTTTATATTTTAGACGTGTCGGTGTAATTCCTGCCCAGATGTTCGTTATCGTCTTTTCGAATCGTGAGGAGGACTTCGCGCTCTATAAAAAACCAAACAATTCAAAGACACCAGAAGCGTCGCCCTACCTCCAACTCTTGCAGGTCCACATGAATTTCTGCGGCCTCAAATGTTGCTGTGTCCGCCTTCCTTCTCCTTTTTTTCTCCGGCTCCCCAGTGGCGTCCATTTCACCCAAAAGGACTTTTCTGGTCTTCCTGGTGGGTCAGTCACATGCTTGAGAGCGGCGTCTGTGATTGTTGCCGCCTGTAATGCGCTTCGTAGTTGTTGACTCAGTCTAATACATCTGGCTCTAACTTCGACATAGTTGTAATCGAATGACTTGGGAGTATACGAATTGAAATTAAAACAAATAGGGGTTGAAACCAATACAATAACTCTCACAAACAAACAAAGCATTAGAAAATCACAAGAATTCATATGCCTTCAAGAGAAGCAACATTCTCCTTGAGTTGTTGACAATTGTCAAAGAGACGCTCAAGAGACTGCTGCTGCAAATTCACGAGATGGAGAACTTCGCCTAAAGCGCCTGGATACAAAGTTTCCTGAACAAAGAGATTGTGAGACAATTGTGAGGAGTGCACGTCAGGATGAGACAATGAAAGGTGGTATGCACAGAGTGAATATATGACTAAAAAAAAAAAAAAAAGAAGTAGACAGTATGATGATAATCAATGTACTGCAGGCACCTCCACTCAATAACGTACTTGAACTTTGTTGATATCTTCAGTAATTTGATCCAATAGCCCTTCAGAATCATCAAGATGGGCCGATAGTGATTGTAGTGTGCCTGAGAAGAAGTACGCTTTCTTATTCAGTGAGCGAATCGGGTACAAGATAGAAATCAATGAATGAGCATACTTTGGAGCGGATGGATGGACTCAGCAGGCAATTGTGCAGAGAGAAGCATCTCCATCTGTTGCAGCATTTTGGCTAATGAGACTTGATGGTTCTGAATAGTAGAAGATTTTAAAATGAAAGAGACAAAGATAAATAACGCACTTCAATTTGATCCAAAGAGACGTCGATTTCTTGCTGCTTTGTTTCTATAACAGTTTGTTGTTGTTGAACAGTCTCAAGAGTGTTAACGGTTTTGCACAAATCTAAATCCAAACGCATGACAGCTTCAGAATACTTTCCAAAGTCAGAAACCTAAATAAGAATTCACATTTCGTAAACAAACAAATTACGATTCATCACTTACTTGACGTTTCAATCGTTGATCCCAATTTTTCATCAGATCGTCCACTTTCTGATACTGGCTTGCTTCTAATGCAGTGCTTTTCACAGCTTCAACAGTTGGAACCTCGGAAGCTGTAGGCCCAACATTTTGACGTTTGCTTGCATCAGAAGAAACTCCGAATGCAGGCAAGAATGATGACGGTGCCTGCTGGTCTGTCTCAGCAACAAAAAGTGACTCTGTCATGAGTGTCGGCGCTTACCCTTCGATTCAGCCTCCGCCGTCTTCGTTGCTGATCAGAAAAAAGAGGAAAAATGGGGAGTTGGTCTCAACATAATGAATTCCCGTACTTCCAGAGAAAAGAGTACTGGCTTGTGCTACGCCAGGGTCCTGAGAGCAAAAACGGTTCCGATAACGCCATCAACCAGCAGCTGATTACCTTTCCGGGGGATGCCCCAAGAAGGTTTGGGGTAGCGGGTGTCTTTGTTTCGCCAGGAGTACCAAAGGAGCGCACTGCTGGAGTTGCAGATGTTGGAGCTTCTGCTGCCCCGAATAAACTTGGTTTCGCTGTTGCATCTTTGCCGAACAGAGTGCTGGTGGTTGACCCTTTCCCAACTTCTGCTGCTGGTTTCGCTTCAGCGCCGAAAAGTCCCGTGGCGGGTTTTGTTTCCTCACTGGCGCCGAATAAGCCACCAGATGGTTTGGCCGATTTAGCCCCAAAGATCCCGCCAGCTGCGGGCGGATTTGACGACCCTCCAAAGAGTCCAGGCGCTTGTTGAGTTGCTTGAGAAGGCGCGGAGCTAAAGAGGCTTCCCGACCCTCCGAACGCACCTTGAGTTTGCTGTTGAGTTTGCTGTTGAGTTTGCTGTGCATCGCCACTCGCTGGTGCAGAACCGAAAAGGCCACCACCAGTGCTTGTTGCGGGCGCGCTTGTAGTTGGAGCACTTGTTGTGCTGGTAGCTCCAAAAAGATTCGACTGGTTAGACGTGGACCCAAACAGAGAGACATTTGGCTGCTGTTTAGCTTGATCTGCAAAAAGAAAGTCACTCGGCATGAGATTCTACGCTTACCCTTGGGGTCAGACTGAAGTGGCGTAGTTGCACCGAAAAGACCACCGCCTTGTGGCACATCCTGAGAACAAAACGAATCCGATTCCGCCCCCAATGACAAGCTAATCACCTTTCCCAACGTTCCAAACAGGCTTGGAGTAGCAGAGGGCTTAGTTTCTACAGCGCCAAAGGGAGAAGGTGCCGACGGTGGCACTTCTGCTCCACCGAACAAACTTCGTTTCGCTGAAGCATCCTTGACTCCGCCGAATAACGTGCTTGTAGGGGGTGCTTTCGTTTCAGCGCCGAGGAGTCCCGTGGCGGGTTTTGGTGCCTCAACAGCACCGAATAATCCACCAGACGGTTTGGGTGTTTGCGCACCGAAAATCCCGCCAGTTGCGGGCGGATTGGACGGCCCTCCAAAAAGCCCAGGGGCTTGCTGAGTTGACTGAGCAGGCGCAGAGCCGCCGAAGAGACTTCCTGACCCTCCGAACGCACCTTGAGTTTGTTGTGCACCGCCGCTCGCTGGTGTAGAACCGAAAAGCCCACCAGTGCTTGCTGCGGAAGCGGCTCCAAAAACATTTGACTGATTAGATGACGCTCCGAACAAAGATCCCCCACTCGGCTGCTGCGTGCCTCCGAAGAGATTTGAAGCACCTGCTGAGCCTGATAACAAGAAATAAGGAAAAGGGGGAGCTAGTGAGGGCCACGAACGACAATGCTACTGTACATACCAAACATGTTTATAGGTCAACAGAACTGTTAACAGGCAATTGGCAATATGAAATTCCGTTTATCCAGTTACTCCTTTACGTATTTACCTGTCTAGTCACAACAGTTCTTATCAGTCAGGCGCGCAGACAGTCTACAAGTGAGGCAAAGACAAAAATAGTTAATTTAATTGAGATAATTGTGGATTAAACATCGACAAAATGGGTTGAAACCGCTTCCATATTTTGTACGTCTTCATGATCAAGTTACGAAATTTAGGGGCAGACCTGGAGGAGAACAGTCATGGACCTGATTCCAGACCGCTCCCACTGGTCAAGTAGCTGGTATTCGATGTCGCTAATGGTGACTCATCAAATCAACAGCTGCGAGTTTGGAAAATAGCCGATTTTACAACCGACGCGACTGAAGAGGCTTCTAGAACCATGGACGTCTTTGTAGCAAGCTGCGCCCCGTTTCATCTCTGAAGAAAATTGATCTCTGGAAGACGCCGTTTGTGATTCTGACAATGTAATGACTGACTTGAGTGTGTCCCAAAAAGTCTGATTGTGCTTGTTGGACGTCCAGATATCTTGATCACTCGTAAATGGAAGCCATTTTTCAAGCAATCTGGACAAGATAAATTTTAGCCGATGGACATTGTCACAATCATCGAGTTAAAGAGGCAGCTCCGGATACCAAACAAATATGCTACAGAAATGAGCGAGTCGCGTTATTCCAAATTCACAGAAAGATTGTTGTTGGATTTCTCACAGACGGAATTAACTTGATCACAATTGTAACATGTCCTGTGACACAAAGACACTACAAACATCAATGCTCATATTCTTCCCAAAAAAAGGATATTCCGAGCATCAGAATAATTTTGGAATTATATAACGAAGAGTTATTCGGTTGGAAGCCACTTCCATTCAACAAATTAACTGATATCTGGTTCGAAGGAGATATTTCAGTTTACTTCAAAGATAAAAACTCAACTTCGACAAAAGCTGCGATACAGGGACAATATGTAATGGATGGGAAAGACGGCACTTTGTTCTTGAAGTCTGGGGGAAACCCAATAGAGGCTCTATACTATGAAACGTCCAGAGAGCGGAATGCAGTGAGTTTTGAATATCTGTTGTTATGCACATAATTCTTTTTCACAGAGCGCAGCAACGAAATCGATGTCGATGCTTCTTTCAGTGCTAAGAGAAAAGTCTGTTGGCTTACTACTTGCACCAGTTGGGGAGATAGTTGATTGGCAGCAGTTAGATAAGCCTCGTAATAAGGATGCCAAGAAGAGTGCCGCGATAGATTGTATCTATCAACTACGCGCAGGTAAATAAGGGACCCTCAGCTGGTCATTCATTGGATGTTATTTTTCCCATAGGCCACTCAATCGGATTCCTTCATACAGACTGCCGTCCGCCGAACTTTCTTCAAGTCGAAAGAAAAATTCAAATCATCGACTTCGACCTTGCTCTTAAAACGCGGTCGATGTCCCATTTTCCAGAAAACTTCAAAGAAGAAAGGGCACTCCACAAATTGAAAGAGCTGATGAACACGGGATGGGATACGAAGTGTTATATTCAATTTCGAATTGTCGATTTCATGGATCGCAATCAACAATCCATCAGCGTCGCACATCAACGCGCGATAAAGGATCGAGAGGGGTACTGGTACAGTACCATCGATGATGAGCTGAGTGTATTCCGATGTTTCGAATTTCTTGGGAGCGCGTATGAGAAGAACAACAAGGTGGATGGAAGTCAAGCGTTCACGGACTATCTCTTGAAAAAACCTCTCATAGCAAGCGATGAAGCTCTTGTTAGAAAAGCACAAAGAAAGGACGCTATCTTGACGGATGATGAGTATCGAGGGTTGGAGCTGCTTGAATTCGGCTTTTATGAAGCGTGGCTGCGCGAAATTGGGGTTGGAGATCTTGATTTGGATTTGACAAAACCCCAAAATTCATTCTCTCGCTCGACGTGTCCTCCTAACTCTGACATTCGATGAACAAATTCGTTGTATTTCTGTTTTCTGTGTGATGGGGAATGGAAACCAGATTGGTTAATTGATTGTTGATATGGAATCATATTTGAGCTTCACGCTTGGACGGCAGTCGTTGAACTTATGACCAGAATTGTCGTGTGGTGCAAACAAATGTTGCTGGCGATCCTTGCCAGTGCCGTTCTGTCGAAATGTTGCCCAACATCCATCGTTGTTGGGGTCCGTCTTGCTGAATATATCCATCAGAGCCTCTACAAACATAAAATCTGACTAAAGTCTTGTCCAAAAGTCTCAGCTTTAGCGAAATCACTCCTCCTCATATTCAACCATTCAACCATAGAAACATGACGCGAAACCACGTCGTACAAATAGCCGCACGGGGAGAGAACAAGTTCTGTATGACAGATTGACCACAGTCCTTGAATAGACGGGGACTGAGACGACGAGCTTTGCATTCGTCCACGAATCAATTCTGGGGAACATTTTTAGGGTCAACGATTGACTGATGCGTTTCTTCAAAAATGATGCGCATCCTGCGAAGTCGTTCAGAGAGACGGTCGTTTGCCTTCCAAAACTCCAGGTGCAACCAATACGAAGGCCGATCTGTAAATGAAGTTTCCTTAAACTTCTTGTGCTATTCTGATCTTGATCGCTCTGAAGATGAGGACTTCCAAATCTCAAGATATCGAGCAGATTTATGAACTAGCATGATGTCGAACACGTCAGAACCTGAAATTTCACTCAGACAAGACAACTGTTTTCTTGTGAGAGGCTTATCTCGCAAATCGATTCTATGGATTAGAAACATTTGCAGATTTATAGACGTTCCACGCTCTTCAACTCATGAACAACTGCTTCCAAAGCATATGGTGACAAAGAGACGGAGAACTCGCTACTGAGCATTCCTGGAGAAGTGATGTACAAGAAATTCGAAGAGTTCTGTCCAACAGCTCTTCATGGTTTGCTTGATGAAGGGTTGCGCAGTGAAACTGACGAGGAGGAATCGTGGCCCAAAAAATTAATGCAACGCGTGGAGACGGTGTCCGCAATTCTTGCTGAGAAGATGAAGATTTAGATTTTTTTCTATTTTTCTTTGTTCTTCACACACCTTTACAAGTCAAATCGCTTGCACGAATCGCTTCCTAGCTCTCATCCACATAATTCTCCAGCTTGACACGTGAGGTTCTGGTGAACGTTTCTGACACTTTAGCAAGGCGCTTCATCTGCTCACATGGTTGCTTGGGACATTGGTCCCTTGCTCTGTTTCCTTACCGTACACATTCTCGTTCTCCTGTTAGCCAATCCAATTATGTCAACAAAGGATTTGTGTCCTGCTTCAGGGAAAAGTGTTTGTACTGGCTCGTCAAATCCAGAGCTGCGAGTTTGGGAAATATCCAATTTTACAATGGGCGCGACTGAACAGGCTTCTAGAACCATGGAACATCTTCGTAAAAAGCTACTTCCCGATTCATCTCTACAGAAAGTTGATTTCTGGAAAGACGAACAAGAACTTCAAGACACCGTTAGTGATTACCTGAGCAAGAGGTTGGAGTTTCACCTAACGGACTTGAGTGTGTCCCAAAGTCGAATGGTTGATTCTGCGGTTGGACGTCCAGATATCTTGATTACTCGTGGAGGGAAGCCATTCTTCAAGGAACGTGGGAAAAATGTAATGCGGCTGATGGACATCGTGACAATCATCGAATTAAAGAAGCAACTCCGTGATTCGGATACCAAACAAATATGCTACAGAAATGAGCGAGTCGCGTTATTCCAAATTCACCGAACGGTTGTTGTTGGGTTCATCACAGACGGACGTAACTTGATCACAATTGTAACATGTCCTGTGACACAAAGACACTACAAACATCAATGCTCATATTCTTCCCAAAAAAAGGATATTCCGAGCATCAGAATAATTTTGGAATTATATAACGAAGAGTTATTCGGTTGGAAGCCACTTCCATTCAACAAATTAACTGATATCTGGTTCGAAGGAGATATTTCAGTTTACTTCAAAGATAAAAACTCAACTTCGACAAAAGCTGCGATACAGGGACAATATGTAATGGATGGGAAAGACGGCACTTTGTTCTTGAAGTCTGGGGGAAACCCAATAGAGGCTCTATACTATGAAACGTCCAGAGAGCGGAATGCAGTGAGTTTTGAATATCTGTTGTTATGCACATAATTCTTTTTCACAGAGCGCAGCAACGAAATCGATGTCGATGCTTCTTTCAGTGCTAAGAGAAAAGTCTGTTGGCTTACTACTTGCACCAGTTGGGGAGATAGTTGATTGGCAGCAGTTAGATAAGCCTCGTAATAAGGATGCCAAGAAGAGTGCCGCGATAGATTGTATCTATCAACTACGCGCAGGTAAATAAGGGACCCTCAGCTGGTCATTCATTGGATGTTATTTTTCCCATAGGCCACTCAATCGGATTCCTTCATACAGACTGCCGTCCGCCGAACTTTCTTCAAGTCGAAAGAAAAATTCAAATCATCGACTTCGACCTTGCTCTTAAAACGCGGTCGATGTCCCATTTTCCAGAAGACTTCAAAGAAGAAAGGGCACTCCACAAATTGAAAGAGCTGATGAACACGGGAGGGGATACGAAGTGTTATATTCAATTTCGAATTGTCGATTTCATGGATCGCAATCAACAATCCATCAGCGTCGCACATCAACGCGCGATAAAGGATCGAGAGGGGTACTGGTACAGTACCATCGATGATGAGCTGAGTGTATTCCGATGTTTCGAATTTCTTGGGAGCGCGTATGAGAAGAACAACAAGGTGGATGGAAGTCAAGCGTTCACGGACTATCTCTTGAAAAAACCTCTCATAGCAAGCGATGAAGCTCTTGTTAGAAAAGCACAAAGAAAGGACGCTATCTTGACGGATGATGAGTATCGAGGGTTGGAGCTGCTTGAATTCGGCTTTTATGAAGCGTGGCTGCGCGAAATTGGGGTTGGAGATCTTGATTTGGATTTGACAAAACCCCAAAATTCATTCTCTCG